CTGAACATATACTGACCATAGACTGCCCATAGACTGCCAAGAAGTACGATCCTGAGCCACCTGCATCCATCGACCTCCCGCACATTTGCACAGGTCGTCACTCCATCTAGTGGGGGGTCGTCCTACACTGCGATGGCCAGTACGAGGCTGCCACTCGAGAACCTTTCTTCCCAACGGTTATCGGTTCTACGAGCTATATGGCCGGCCCATCGCCACTTCAGCTTGCTAATCCTCTGAGCTATATAGGTTATCTTAGTTCTACTGCGGATGTCTTCGTTACGAACTCTATCACGCAGAGAAATACCGAGCATAGCCCGCTCCATAGCTCGCTGAGCGACTTTGAGCTTCCTCATACGGCCAGCAGTGAAGGACCATGTCTCGGTTCCGTAGGTCATCACTGGCAACACACATTGATTGAAGACTTTAGTCTTCAAACATTGAGGTATATTCGACGAGAAGATTTGCCGAAGTTTCCCGAACGCTGCCCATCCGAGTTGGATTCGCCGATTGACCTCTGCGTCGAAGTTGGACTTACCTAGCCGGACTAACTGTCCTAGGTAAACGTACTCGTCAACAACTTCGAGCTCAGTGCTCCCAACAACAACCGGTATAGGCGTGACATGGACATTAGACATGATTTTCGTCTTGTCCATGTTCATCTAAAGGCCCACCCGTTGGGAGACACTGTTGAGGTCATTGAGCATAGCACCCAGGTCCTCCAGCGATTCTGCCATGATGACTATATCGTCGGCAAATCGAAGGTGGGTGATGTATTCGCCATTGATGTTAATACCTCGTCCTTTCCAGTCCAGAAGCTTGAAAACATCTTCCAACGCAGCGATGAAGAGTTTCGGGGATATGGCATCACCCTTCTGCAGTTGGATATGTTTTGTACTACTGGACTGTACTTGGACGGACATCGTAGCCTTGCTAAACAAACACCTCAGCACTTCGATATACCGACAGTCAATTTGGCACCGCTGAAGAGCCTGAAGTACCGCCCACATTTCGACAGAATCGAAGGCTTTCTCATAATCCACATACGCTAGGCATAAGGGCAGATTATACTCTTCGGTCTTCTGTATAATCTGCCGCAATGTGTGTATGTGGTCTATGGTACTGAAGCCTTTTCGGAATCCGGCTTGTTCGGGAGGCTAGAAGTCGTCGAGTCTGGAAGCGAGACGATTCAAGATGACTCTTGAGAACAGCACATAGACGCGGCTCAGAAGGGATATCGGTCTATAGTTCTTCAAGAGAGCGTTATCACCTTTCTTGAAGAACAGCACCACCACACTTCTGCTCCACGCCTCTGGTGTAGTGCCACCCTGAAGGACGGAATTAAAGAGCCTCTGAAGGACTACAAGTACCGGTTCTCCACCCGCTTTCAGAAGCTCTGCTGTAATTCCGTCCTCTCCCGGTGCTTTGCCATTCTTAAGATGATTAAGAGCCATTCTAATCTCGCTCAGACTAACGTCCGGGATATTTTCGGAATAGTGTCGGATAAGCTTTGCTCTTGGGTCGTTACTCACATATGTGTGTGGCTCCAACGACGATGTGTACAGCTGTCCATAGAACCTCTCAATCTCACTCAAAACCTCTGGTCTACTGGAGATGATAGCCCCGCTGTCAGTCTTCAACTTAGTCAGTTGGCTTTGTCCGATAGACAGATCTCTGGCGAAGACTTTTGAGCCTAGGTTCCGCTCTATAGCACCCTCAATACGAGCTGTATTGAAGTTGCGTAAGTCTCGCCGCATGTATTTGGAGATCTGCCTATTAAGCCGCCTGTAGTCTGACATGTCAGTTGAAGACTGCAGCCGCATCTCACGTCTTTTTCCCAAGAGGCTAAGAGTGTGATCGGAGAGTTTTTGCGTTGGAAAATGGTGCTGTTCTGGGAACTATAAAGGTGAGACTACAGCTACGGATCGGGTTGCTACTTTTTCGAAGCCAGTTCCAGCTACATCAAGCGATGCTTTCGGTAGACCAATTGAATTCTGTAGGCGTGATGGGCACAGTAAATTCATGTTTCGAAGACAGTTCGTTCTATCAGTGGTGATGGAAGATCTAAATTTTTGCTTCGAATCCACCCCAGACCAAGTAGCATGTTAGCCGTGATTTAAGGAATGCCGATGGTCGATGTCGAATGCCGATGGTCGATGTTTTGATTGATAGCGGGTCGGATATTTCAATAATTTCACAAACTGTACGAGTACTTGAAATTTTAATTTAATTTATATATATATATATAATCGGATTCTCGGAATCGGCTCCAGCGATTTTCATGAAATTTAGTATGTGCGTAGATTCGGGGGCGAAAAATCGATCTAGCTAGGTTTTATTTTTAGAAAATGTCCTTTTATCCCTGTTTTCAGGGAATGAAAAATATTAATCATTCGGATATGACAGTAAATTTCGCCGCAAAATAAAATGTTAAAATAGCTCGGTCGGTAATCGCCGTGGTTCGTATCACGATCATTTACATACTCATTTTTTTTTTACTTTTTTTTATATACCAGATCATTTTCTTTATTTTTCATTACTTTTATTTCCAAAATACATAATTTACAAAAAAAACACCGAGCAAAGCTCGGTCCACCAGGTATTGTATATAATGCATAAGGTAGCGAGATAAGATTATACATGTTATTTTGATTTATTGTACATTTAAATATTTAGTAACATTTTTTTTAAAATAAAAAGTCGTAGTAGCAACAATATCCATACTTGTTAAGTCATCGTTGTATGATTGCACTATGTTGCATCGGCGAGCGTAAACCGGCGTTAGTTCGAATGCGCTGAGAACAACTAGGGATGCGATAACACAAGTTATTATTAAGAGGGATGCAATCTATAAGGTTATAACAGATTTTGTATAAGTATAACGCATCACTTAAAATTATTCTTTTGTTCAAAGGCAGAAGTGAAAACCTATCTAAAGCTTGGGAGTAGGAAAAAAGATAGTTGCGGTAGCATCTGTAATAAACCGTTTTTAAGAATTTTCGTTGAGTACGTTAAATCTGATTACTATACCTTTCATAAAATGGGTTCCAAACTATTGAGGCATACTCTAGGATAGGTCTAATCAAGGAGTTGAATAAATAAATATATGATAATGGTCGCCTAAAAACGTTTGTTTGTCTTATTACAAAACCGAGCGCGCGAAATGCTTTGTCGGTGATATAATCCACCTAAGTGAAGTTTCGAGTCTAATATAACACCTAAATCCTTGATCGATTCAATGCTTTTCAAGTCAATATTGTTTATGTTGTAATGAAAATTAACTACATTACGTTTTTTTGTGAATGTTATGCTATTACATTTGCTAATACTCAATTGAAGTTTATTTTTAACACAGGAGGCAGATAAGCGGTTATTAGACGGTTCATTTAGACTTTATGCACAAACTAGTACAAAGGCGAACTTAATGCCAATGGCATTTTCTACCAGTCAATCTTAGTGTTTAACTAATGAACAAGAACATCCTCATAGCTTTCTATCGATCCAAGTATCGGTGAGTTGGTGTGCTGAATGCACTTCATCGGCACGCATCGCCAGACTAGAGGCCAGATGCGTGTTCAGCTTTCTTCGAAGGTGGTGAGTGTCGTTATGCGATTGTTGAAGTCTCTGATGAAAGAAAACATACTCGTCATGGGAATGTTGAGGCGTCTGACGAGATATGGCATACAATGGTATTGGTCTCTGTTCTGACTCAGAACAGAGACCGACTTCTGACATTGAATCCTACTGCGTGGTCATACGAGGATTTATGCAAACGTTTAGGCCTTTGTCTCAGTCACATATTCATAGTATGCAAACGCTTGGACCTATGCTTTGAATAAGTGAAAATGACAAGCAAAACGTTTGGGCCTCTGTCATGGGCAGTAAGCGATGAAAGTCCGGATTCTGTCATTCACGATCCACTGAATTTTATTTTTATTCATGTTATGTCTGAAGCCATTAAATATTATATCGTTTTTACTTACAAGTGTCCCCTTTTTTGTGGGCACTTGAGTGCACGCTTGCGACCATATAATGATTTGTCACTACAATGAATAGTTTTTTGAAAAAAAAAATAAGAAGTTATGCTTCAGACACACACAAACGAAAACTGCTTTAGTGCACCCGATCCCTAAAAAAGATGATCATTCAGATCCGTCGAACTATAGGCCTATTGCCCTCACCACTTTGTTCTCTAAAATAATGGAGTCTATTATAAACTGCCAGCTCCTTGGGTACCTTGAGGAGCACCAGCTCATTAGTATTGGGACAAAAGTATCGAGTACGAAAATACTAGCGCTAAAATTCTGAAACAGTGATCATCGTAGAAGTTAACTCATCAGCTGTCAAATGGCTTTCCAAATGTCACTACGATGATCGATGTTTCAGAAACCGGGCGTCAGTGTTTCAGAAACCGGGCGTAATCATTCAAATATCGTTATTCAAATAGACGCTTGCGGGTTCTTATGAATCGTCAAACTTTACATAAAAAATTATACATATAGGTTCGTAAGGTACCACCGGTTCGGAAAGCAGTTTCTGTTGAGAAAATACCGGCAAGAAACTCAACAGTTGCTCTTTTTCAAAAATATCAACTTGCAATAAAACATACCGGTATAACAGTCTTACTCTGTCCTACGTGAGTATCAACAGAATTAACTCCACACATTGGCGTCGCCGAGATATTCCGCAATGGTGTAATATGCTTTAACCATAAGTTGACTTGATTTTACGTTTAAATTATCAAGCGGATACTTACGTGTAAGTATCGACACTACTCAAGTATCGATACTTTTTGCGGATCCCAACATATCCATTCTGACAGTGACAGTGGTCAAACTTCAGTGTCAATGTCACAGCACAGTGTTTAGAATTGAAATTTAACCGAACTATTTGTACAAATATCCCTAAATGTAGATCTTATGGATAACATATAACAATAAAACTTTATGCTCCCTGTAGAATTTTAGAAAGATCTTTGAATAGTCCAATAGAAAGTCCTTAATATGACTAAATGGAAGTTAAGCCGGCAAACATTCGGGTCTGAAGAGTTAAACTTTTCCGAGGGTGATGAAGTTACTTTTGGTAGAGGATTAAATAATACTGTTACCTTGTCTAGCATAGTGATATCTAGGAATCACTGCGTGATAACTTTTAGACATGACGAGGCCGTTATTACAGATCTAAAGGTAATCTAACAAGCCTAAACTCTCCATTATAAGACATTAATTTAATTTTGATATTACTATACAAACAAAAGGTTTGTAATAAATTATAGATATTATATTGATATTCCCACAGCTTGAGATATAATTTGTTATTAAATATTAGAATATACAATTATTGAATAATAAGAATGTCCATTAACATCAAAGAAATTTTTTTCTTCCAGAGTTCTAATGGCATATATGTTGGATTAAAAAGGATACCTCCAAATATTCCATACAATTTGCAAGAATCTGATCTAATAGGGTTTGGATGGACCATAGGTGCACCACTTGTCAACATTACAGATAGTGAAAAATACATATTCAAACTCTCAAAACAATACTCACAGCCACCTTTATCGAAACGAATATTATTCCAAAATGAACATGATATTAATGATATAGCTGCAGTCATAGCGACTTTAGATAAAAAAGACACGAGTTCTAAGATAAAAAGTAATGCATCACCTGTATTAAACTCAAACTCAACATTAAAAAGAAAATTTTGTGCAACAAATATAGAACATGAACCTTTTAATGGAATACAAAATGAAGTTAAAATTGCAGAAGTTATTGATATATTAACAGATAGTGATATTGAAATATGTACTAATACAGATGCTGCTAAGAAAATAAAACTTGAAAACATTTCTAATGAACTACAAGTCCATATAAAGTCTGAAAATGATGACTTACAATATGAGGCTTTTAAGGTTAAACAAGAATATTTGGGTTATGATGATGAAGCTATACAAATTGATAGTGATAGTGACAGTGAATCAGAACATTGGTTTTTACGGCTATCACAAAGCTCACCTGGCAAGCCATTTACAAAAATGGTTCAAAGTAAACCAAACACTACAAAAAATGATTGTTCCTACAGCCAAGCGGATGATTTTGCCATGTTAGGCCTTAAGAAAGAAGATATTGAGTCAGAAGAAGAATATTTAGATGATTTAATTATAATACCGCCTTTGCCTACTGAAACCGAAAAGAATGTGGTAACCTCAGAAATTATGGAAGGAAAAGATGTTGATACAAGTGAAAATATATGTGTCACTTTAAACTCACAAACAAAAAATTCAAAACCGGTTTTAATAACAGAAAATCTTCATTCTATACATATGAAAGATAATGCAGATGAAGTTGATGGAGATAATTTGATAAACAAAGACTTAAATAGTGGGACACTCACAAAATCACCTCAAAATAATAAAGAAATAGTAAAGAAGATTCAAATGATTGAACCTTTGGTACATCAGAAAAAAAAAGTACCACCAGTAATCCTAGAAAGTAAGTACTGCTTTTAAAATAACAAAAGTCTATACAATGTCTTATGAATTTCTATATTTTATAACCTCTTATTAATTTCTTTACTTTAGGTAAAAAGAAACACTCTAAAAAACACAAATCTTGTTCAAAGAAACATATGAGCAATTCACAAAAAGAAGAAAGGAAAAGAAAACTTAAAGAAATTGCTTCCAAAGAAAAAGAGGAAACTGAATCAACTAACAACTTTACAGTAAACAACTCAAATAAGCAAATTGTGCATGCAAAAATAACAACATCAAACAGAGGTGCATTTTTAACTAATATTGATGAAGCTACTATAAAACCTACCAAAAAGAGGTCAAGTTTAAATAAGAACAAAGATACCAACACAGGGCATAGTCATGAAGAAATCTCAGAAGAAAATATAGAAATTAAAAATAAGAAAAAAGAATCCTCGAAATATGTTTCAAAAAAACTTGAAATATCTAAGACAAAAAATAAAAATGAGACATTTAAAACCTTTGAATCTGATTCAAGAATACCTTTGAAATCTGTGAAACCATTAACAGAGAGTGATAAATCTATCTCTGGAAAGCCATTTTCCAAAGTTGAACCTCTTCCCCCAAATTCTACTACTACTATCAAAAAGTTTGTTAAGAAAGTGCGCTTTACTGATGAAGAACCAAAAATTCATATCTTTGAAATTGAACCTGGCAATAAGATGAAAAAGACCAGTTCAATAAAAACAACGCTACTAGACATTCAACATATGCCAGTGTTTTCATTGGAGAAAATCACATTAATGAAAATTCTTCGTTGGAATCCACATTGGTTGGATGAACAAATTAACAACAAGGATCCTGCCCCCATTTTAGGCCACAATAATCCGCCAATGGCTATTTTCCACTCATTCAACAATCATAAACAATACATACAGTAAGTACAAAATTCAAATGCACTTGTAAGTTAAAATTTTGTGACTTTGGTGGAATTACAAAAATATATCTTACAGATTAGTGGGTGATCTGTTACTAATGGAAATTTGGGAATGTTTAACTCAAGGGTACATGAGATTGACCAAATCAAGCCATGGTATTCAAATGCGAATAGAATCATTGCCCCCTGTCCCACCACAAGAGCGCTGCTTTGATTTGTTTAGTCTGAGTGTCAATGGTAAGTGGGATAGCTATTAATTACCTTGCTTTTCACCCTGACAAAAATAAATTGTGCCACTTTCTTCTAGTTTCACTACCAAATTCTGAAATAAAAAGTGTACCAAGGATAGGAGAGCTGTTGTTGGTAACATTTGGACACGAAAATACAAAGAATAATAGATTTGTTTTTGTTCACAACATAAGGAGTCTTCCATCACCTCCTAGTGAGTATTAATCTATTTACTTTTAAATTTCTGTTTACTAATTTAGTAATATTGTATCGTTTATTTTCTTTTTTTTTAGATAATATTCATTCTTTTTTTACCATCTCCTTGTATGCAACTTTTACGGAAAAAATGGGACTGCTTCGGCCTGGTGAAATAATGTTTGGTAGAAGCCTGGCATATATAAATAAGGAATTAATGCTATTTGAGGCTATGGAGCATTTAGCAGGATCACCACTGAGTGAAGCTATTCTAAAACCTGAACCACACCACTTTTTGAGGTTAAATGAAACAAACAAAGAGATTGATTTTAAATCCCAAGTATGCCTTTTTAATTTTTTTTTTATGTAATTCAATTATACAGCGTGTCGTTACCATCGTGACAATAAATTAACACACGTCTAACGCTACTTGCCAATAATCATAAAAAAATATTAACGTTAAACAAAATCCATAATTAAAAAAAATATTTTTCAAACAAACTAATTAAGTAAAAAAGAAACAAAATTTTGTAACATCCTATACAACTCGCGCAACAGCGTCGCATTACAAGCCTCTCCTTCTAACAGTATGTCTCTTATAAACTCATTCAACCCATTCATATGCTTTGTGACCTTTACAAATGAACTTTACGTTACAGTTTTATACGTAAGGGTGTTCTAAAATTGTTTGTTTTGGAAAATTTAATAACTCGGTAAATATTGATGTTTAAAGAATGTAAATGCTTGATACAATTTAAAAAAGTTATCCTCTATATGTGTTCATTTATTGTCGCGGTGGTAACGACACGCTGTATACGTAATCTTTGCAGTATCTAGAAATATATGAAAGGAAATTGTTTTTATTAATTTATGAATAAACTCAAAAAAGAAACAGAATTAAACCTGTGTACAAAGTAACTACTTTGTATTGGTCAGATTTAACTAAGTCTGACCAATAACTTACAACTTAACAAAATAATATACTGTCCTCAATATAATTGCAAGCTACATTAATTTTTCTGTCTTTCCAGTGGACATTAACACTTAATAAAAGTCAAAAATTAGCAGTCAGTTCATCCGTTTCTGCCGCTCTTGGTGATAGGCCATCTATCCAGATGGTCCAAGGACCACCTGGCACAGGTTAAATCATTTTAAAACTCTTAGAAGGCAATGTTTGTTTACACTGTTACTAATAAAAAAAATTTTTTTTTTGCAGGAAAATCAAGTGTGATTTGTGCTATAGTCATGACATATTTTTACAACTCTTCCGGAAATAAGCAACAGAACCGTGGAAAGATTTTAATCTGTGCTACCAGTAATGCCGCTGTAGATGAACTAGTCATTAGATTGCTTAATATAAGGCAAAGTTTGCCTAAATGTAAGTAATTTTTAATTTAGTTCCTATTATGGGATATGTATAAAGTGATAAATCAAAACATTATGCAACAATGTTTTTTTGCAATGCTCATATATTTTATTTTTGAGCCTAATCAACAAAGATCAAAATAATAGTTTGACAGCAATAAAACAAATCTGCCACAATAATAATAAATATTTCAGGGCATGCTAATACACAACATTAATCAAGTCCAAGCAAAGCAAACTTTTGTTTTGTAAATAAAAACACACTATAAACTTATCAAGACAAAAAAAAAACACTATGTTCTTCACACAATACTTTCATCTACACCTTCTGATGCAAAAGTCAGATTCAATGTCCACTAAACTAATCAGGTCATATCCAATTTGTCTTATATGCTTGCTTTTTATAAGCTTTTTTAAATAGGTGAAGTAGAACTAAAAATATTAAATAGGTTTAAAAAATGAACTGAAATAGAACTAAAAATCGTTTAGAAGAATGGGTTAGATGCCAAAGATATCTTTTCTGTATTTGTTCTAACCTCAGAGAGTGACATGCATAGTGCCATCTCCACACAATACTACAGTATTCCAGAATGCTCAGGACAAAAGATGGATGGTAGATGAATAAGCAAAGCAATCTTCCAGTTACGCTCACAAACGCTTTACCAACAAAGCTAAGCGGCCGATGTCCTCACATTGCGAAAATCTTGACATCTATCTGCGTTATTTCCATTGCATTTTTAGCAATGCTTGACGGTATCTAGGGTGCATACTTTTCAGCATGCAACACCGTACAAAGAACAATCAACAATGAAAATTTGTAACGAGACATTTATTTATTTATTTGGCGCAGTTACAAAATACAAATACTTACATGACGAAATTATTTCAGACCAGTACATATTATTATAAATCTTGCATTTCAATAACAACCGAGCAAAACATTCAATTTGAATATGTTATTTAACAATTGTATGCAATAAATAATACTTACTAATTTACTTATAACAACGAAGGAGACCAATATTTTCAGAGGACTTGATAGTTTTTAAAAATAATGCCAAGTTTTGATGAAATATATCTATGTCTCTACATCTCTACAGACGTCGGCTTTGCTCATCGTATTTGGTTATTTCATAGAAAAGACATGAAGAGTATGCGTTTCGTTCTCGGCAGCGGAGCGGTTCCGCATGGTGCGCGTTGGCCGGGCGGAGGCGATGCACCCGCGAGCCCGTGACGTCAGCTCCCAACAGCTGGCTCAGCGCGACGCGGCGCGTTCGCACTCCGAGCCAGCGCAGCCCGGTCTCGCTGAGGAGGTACACGCTAACGCACTGGCTCGAGCCTGTCTCAAACCTCTGGCTCCTCGAGCTAGAAAGCTCCTCTCTTTGTGAAGTTATACTTTTGGCGCGCTTGGGAAGAATGATACGTTTGAATTTCTACGATACGCGACGCCTATAAGCGTGTTACCATGGCGACCGATAGCAACTTTCTGCCATTTTAGCTTTAATTCTAGGTTATTTAATTAAACTATTATTAGATGCATTTAATGTTTTTGTTTTACAAATAGTACTGAGAGAGGCATACGGGATAAACTTTTTAGTGATTTTTCTTATTTTACGTTAAAGAAGTATAACTTCTTTGGTACGTACATAAGCACACGCATTGTTTTTATTTTACATATTACAGATTTCACACTTGGAGGCCAAGATCAACATGTGGAAGACGCAAGCGCAGGACGCGAGGGACCCAGTGCGCGTCGCCTACTGCCAGAATCGCATCGATAACCTCGTCAAAAGAATAGCGCTGGTAAAATACTCACGCCGTGCCGATACTTTCATATTTTCATTGATCATTCCGTGGCCCAGTTGCCAAGGTTTCGGCTTTCGGAGTCAGGTATCGTGGGTCGACTACCACACGGAACAACTATTTGTGTGACCCACTGATAATTATTTCGATACTGGGTGTTTTTCCGCGTGAAATCTATTACATACATGCATTTCACGCAGGCAAACGTCCATACAAAACAGAATAATTTTATCGTACAGTAAGGGGCAATGTTTTCTAAGGTCGTTGAGACTTACTACCCAACCCCGTCCACGCAAAATACAATACTTTCACAACGACACATTTGTACTGGTTGATAGGGAAACAGAACATTTCGCACAACATATCTTGAGGTTTGCATCTTAAGAGTAATTTCCTTTGATCGAATTTTTCAGAGCTTCAATATTATATCTCTTTCATGATAAGATGTTTGGTTTTCAGCCGACTCCAAAAAGGAGGAGGTTAACAATTCGATTGTATTTCAAAATCAAATAGAAAACATAAGAAATTCATGTGTTGCAATTAGTTATTGGTTAATAAAAATGTTATTAGTGCAAACGATGATAACATATGATGCGACTATAGATATAATATCATTGAAACATTAAAATGTGTACACAAATTAACGTAACAATAGAAGCGCCTAACATTGTTTAAAAATGCGAAAAAAAAACAGTGAAAATAAAATACGTTGAGATTTTTCTACAAATTTTAATGTTTCTTGAGTAGACATTAACACTAAAAACTCGATATAAAATATCATTGGTTTCAATGTCAGAATATCTAACTAGTTGGATTTGTCAGCTGCGTGGCGGTAGCGGCGGGGGCGATGAGCATATCGCGAAAACCGAGCGAAGGATCATCGAAGGAGCGGACATCGTGGTCACCACGCTCTCCAGTGCGCACAACCACAAGATGCAAGGGTAACCACACTGCCAAGTTTCTCTGGACGCACGGATCACTACAGTGAATAATAGAATACATTCTATCCTCACCTGGGATATACAGCGTATCGTTACCATCGCGACAATAAATGAACACACGCCTAGCGCTACTTACCAATAATCATAAAAAAATATTAACGTTAAACAAAATCCATAATTAAAAAGTATATTTTTCAAACAAACTAATTAAGTAAAAAAGAAACAAAATTTGTAACATCCTATACAACTCGCGCCACAGCGTCGCATTACAAGCCTCTCCTTCTAACAGTATGTTTTGTCTCTTTTAAATTCATTCATATGCTTTGTGACCTTTACAAATGAACTTTACATTACAGTTTTATACATAAGGTGTTCTAAAATTCTTTGTTTTGGAAAATTTAATAACTCTGTAAATACTGATGTTTAAAGAATGTAAATGCTTAATACAATTTTAAAAAGTTATCCCCTATATGTGTTTATTATTTTCAGTTCATTTATTGTCGCGATTGTAAAGACACGCTGTATAATCATAATAACTCTCCATCTCTCAAATGGAATGATTTGATTTGATATTGATTTGAGTTATAAGCGATTCCAATTTCTGATAAGCGATTATAGTTTCATTTAATTGTGTATATTCATTTTAAACACTTTATTTATTCTTCATTTTCAGATTAAGAAGTCGCATTGCTCTGTGCATAGTGGACGAGGCGGGTCAGGCGATAGAACCGGAGACCCTGATCCCACTGACGCTGAATGTGACTCGGCTCACTCTGATCGGTGACCCCCAACAGTTGCCAGGTTTTATCTGCTCACAAGTAAGCCAACACAAACGCAGGGCGCACAAAATAATTGCCACTTGAACTTGGTAAACCTACATTGCATCTCTAAGTTCTCACGATCGCGGCATGATAAACAAACAAACATTTAGATTTTACTCAATTATCTTTGTTGTTTGCACAAACTGTAATTATGCTGTTTATTTCAACCACGCGCGTGTCCGTGAACGCGAAGACATGTGTAAACTGATGCTATTCATTATTGTATTTCGTTTTGCAGCGCGCAAAGAAACACGGCCTCGGCGAGAGCTTATTCTCGCGGCTGACGTCGACCACGGAGAACTGGAGTGACGGCAGCTCGGTGGTGCTGCTGAACCAGCAGTACCGGATGCACCCCGAGATAGCTGACTACCCCAACAGGGCGTTCTACGCGGGCCAAATTCTGACGGTGGCGCCCTCGCCCGCCGATCTCAGCATACCCCCCTACTGCATCGTCAGCATCGCCAGCGGAGATAAGGGCCAGGGTAACACTACTAACAACCATACACACGACCATACTTCCCGTGACGGCACTGTCTGACTGTTGCGTGTCCGTACGCCTTTCAGAGCTTTAAGAGAGGCCAGTTTAAGGACTTTTTGAAAGCCTCTAAAAGGGTATAAACAGTTTCAAACTATTTGTAAAAACTACCCTAATGGCAAGGGCCTATTATAATGTCCAAGAAGCATTGAGGACAAGGATGTGTGAAAATGACTCTTGCTCTGCACTTCCAGACCACTGGCTGCTGCCGATTTCATACCTAAATAAGTTTGTATAATCGAATCACAAAAAAAATAACAAAAACGAGAACAAGACCGCAGAGTTTCTTGCCGGTTCTTCTCTGTTCAGGTCTACTTTAGTGAACCGGTGGTATTTTTTCTTGACGTTCTACAAGAGCTTAAGTTATGCCTATGTTGAATAACTAGCGACCCGCCCCGGCCTCGCACGGGTACAACGTATTATGCATATAAACCTCCCACTTGAATCACTATCCAGTAAAAAAAACCGCGTCAAGATCCGTCGCGTAACTTTAAACATCTAAGCGTACACAGCGACAGACGGACAGCGGGACGGCTTCGTTGTAACTGTGCAGTGAAAAAATTTCGACTTTGTCTCCGACACACATAGCGACGGACAGACAGCGGGCCGACTTTGTTCTACACCGTGCAGTGTACGTTTAACGGGCGGCCACCTCGGCTCGCAGGGGCGTCGGGCGCGAACGAGGTGGAGGCGTGGGGCGTGGCGCGGCTGGCGGCGGCGATCGGCGCCGAGACGCGCGCTCGGGGCCGCAGCCTGGCCGTCATCACGCCGTACAGCGCGCACCGCGACCTGCTGCGCCGCAACCTCCGGCTGCTGCAGGACCCGTTAGTGTATTATTATTATTATTATTATTAGTTTTTACGTCAAAAGCTGTCAAGCGCGCGGGTGGTCCGCCCGATGCTGAGTGGATACCGCCGCCCGTGGACGTCAACGCGCGACGGCTCGCAGATGCGTTGGCAATCGTAGGAAAAGCTGTACTACCAAATCCCTTTAGTACGTGGAGATCAACCGGGACAACAGCCGTCGGAGACGTCGGAAAAAAATTCAAATTCAGACTAGTAAACAATAGTAAACGACTTCTCCTTTCATATTTTTTTCGAGTTTTACTTTTACCTCCAGTACTTTGTACAAACATGATTACATTAAATATTAACACAAATCAATCCTTACTATTATTATAAACGCGAAAGTTTGAATGTGTGTATGGTATGGATGGATGTTTGTTACTCTTTCATCTTATCTTATACATCAGAATAATACGTAGGCTATAACTTGTATACATATTTTTATGTATATCTGTCTTTCTGCTACGCCTTCAGCCTATTCTACGAAGACGTAGTCGCGGGCAGCAGCTAGTAGAAAATAATTTGGGGCCAAGAAGCCTCCACTCCTTTGTTGCCCAGAGGCCTCCTGACCTCTAAATCTGGCCCTGACATCAACACCTGATGACTTGCCTTGACAGTCATAATAAAAGCGGTATTACCACAGCCCTTTAGCCCCAGGCTCGGAATCGCACTAAGGTGTCCCCTGTCGTAATATCGCCTATTCCCCCTAAATCCCCCTTGCGACCGGTTTCAATATTCTATCAACAGATAGATTTCGTTACTGACGATAGGTATTTGACATTAACTCCATAATACTTACGTCAGAATTCTATATCCGGTAACCAAATTTATCTATAGATTGAATATTGAAACCGGCCGTTAAAGGGGACTTTGGGTTTGGTTCACGGACCAGCGGAGGTGCGATGTGGTCTCGTGTTGATGTGACATGGTGAGGGAATCGGGGAAGGTTTGTCCTTCTCCAAGGCGTGATAATGCGCAAATCGTATGAGATCCCGGAGTCCCTTCAAACATACAGAAGGTGGCCACAGAGGATTTTAATGGGTATCAACCCCACATAACCCTGTCATGTGAGGGATCACAGGATAGATACAGTTTTGAAGATTTTGCTATATATGTGTGAGCAAGATTGACTACATTTTATGGTCAAAACAAAATTTTATTTTTGTAATGTTAGTAAGGTAATTTAGAACTGGATGAATCTTTTACAAATAAACATGTATTGAAGATAGCGCAATTTCTAACTTGCACACAGTTACTTTTTTGTATCCGTTATAAAATTAAAAAAAAAACAACATTAATTACTGTAGATTAATCAGACATGTACCGTTAATAATTGGGTTGATTTCCAAATAAAAGACTCACAGACCATAAGATATACAGCGTGTCGTTACCATCGCGACAATAAATGTGCACACGTCTACCGCTACTTGCCAATAATCATAAAAAAATATATACGTTTAACAAAATCCATAATTAAAAAAATTTTTTTTTCAAACAAACTAATTAAGTAAAAAAGAAACAAAATTTGTAACATCCTATACAACTCGCGCCACAGCGTCGCATTACAAGCCTCTCCTTCTAACAGTATGTTTTGTCTCTTTTAAATTCATTCATATGCTTTGTGACCTTTACAAATGAACTTTACATTACAATTTTATACATAAGATGTTCTAAAATTCTTTGTTTTGGAAAATTTCATAACTCTGTAAATATTGATGTTTAAAGAATTTAAATGTTTAATACAACTTTAAAAAGTTATCCCCTATATGTGTGTTCATTTATTGTCGCGATGGTAACGACACGCTGTATAAAGGAATATCATTCAGAATAGCAATTATATCCATTGCCATGTTTTCTATTTTGTCAAATCCAAATTCTAAAGACATTTAAATACATATATCTTATATAAATCTAGAATATCTTTCAAGCAGCTCTTTAAAAATTAAAATGTTATTATATAATTGTGTTATTACATTATTTAGTACTTGATAAATAGCAGTTGATAATTAGCAGTGGGGAAACTCCCCAGTTAAAACTGTTAAATTAATTGACAAAAACAATATTTTCTGCCAGGGCACATTGATTCAATAGATGGCCGCGAAAGATGTGCACTTACCTGTCTTGAACGCTGAATGTAAACAGCGTGTAAAGCAAAGCAAGCCGTTACGCCAGACCTTGTTGAATTCCTGTGCGCTATCATGTTAAGAGTGCTAGTTCCCCTTAGGTTTTTGGTGATTGAAAATAATAGATAGTCCATTATTTTGAATCTAAATGTTTGATTTTTTTATTAACATTGTATTCGCCTTTTCAGGTCCGACGTCCAGATTGAGGTGAACACCGTGGACGGCTTCCAAGGGCAGGAGCGCGATGTGGTGGTGGTGTCGCTGGCGCGCAGTCACGGCGTAGGATTCCTCACGGACGCGGGGCGCATGAACGTGATGCTGACCAGAGCACGCCACGCGCTCCTAGTCTGCCTGAACCCACTCGCCTTAACGGTACCCCATCCGGTTTTGTACTACGAGCTATACTAAAAACATTCTGTTCACAGCGAAGAGTTTGCAGATGCCAATAAGTATGAGGCTTGGCCCTGAGACATTTCAGAGGGTTAAAGTGTAAATACTTTAACTCTATGCCGTTGTACTATGAGGATGTAGTACTTCTACAGATGAGCTGATAAGTCTGTGGTTAGAAGGGTATTATCCTTTGTCTACTCAGAGAATTGCCAGAGGTACGTTTTCCTCATCATCATCATTTCGGCCTGGGCTTAAGTATGAAGAGATGAATTTAGGGTTCCACTCAGCAGCCACAAAGCACAATGCTGAACCACATGCATTCATCAATTTCCTGAAAATTTGCACCGGTCGTCACATAATCTGGTCGTCGTACATTGTGCTAGCCAATACGAAGCTGCCACTCGAGAACCTTTCTAGCTTAGCACTTCAGCTTACTAAACTTCACGTTTAGTCTAGCGGATACCTGCATTGCGAAAATAATAACTTGAATCACTTGGTTGTTTCAAGATTAGATTTTTGTAATGGCTATCACAGAAATGTATCTGGTGAAGATTTACTTCTTATTAAGGTATTGCTGCATAATTTTTGCTTTTCCATATACTAGTTCCTAATTTCTTTTCCTTCGTAGAAAAACCAACAATGGCGAACCTTAGTTGACGATGCGCACAGGAGGAAAGTTTACAGAGTACTACCTAGTAAATTATGCCAAGGTGCTTCAACGCCGATCCCACCAGAAGAAATACTAAAGCACATTAGAAATGTGAAGTCTACCAAGTGATAATGATAGATACTTAGGAAGTGATATTATACAATTTCTTTGTATAAGAACTTTAATGTAACATATAGTTATGTTGACTAGTTTAGCAATTTAAGTACCCAGAATAGGTTTATAAACATATTATTCATACTCATAAAAGTTTGTACATCCATTAACTATTATTATTACAACTAAACTCCTGGGTTGTTGTGCCATTTTATACAAATGGTTAAATTGAAATTTTTAAGGTCATAACTTTCTCATACGCGGGCCAAATAAAACATGATGTAATTCGATAAAACCTTATCACGCCTTAAATTTTTTTATAAGCTCATTTTTTCACTAAATAACTTGATGCTGCAAACTGATATAGATTGTCCCCTTTAAATTGTAAGAAACTTTGTTCTTATCATTATAAAATAAGGTTACTAGGCGTGCTGGCTAAACGCTATTGAAATTTGATAAGATAACATGACTATTGACAATGAATCTATTATCAAGGCTAACATACTAAGTTAATTGATGAGCCTGTCATCATAGCTTTAATTTTTAAGCCCACAATATGAATTAGAAGTGGTCTGTAAGAAAACCCAATATCATCCTTAAAAATCCTTGTCTATTGTCTGTACTAAAATTAAATATTAATTACAACTAATGCGATGAATGCTAAGAATACTTATACAATTATTAACTGTTTTTTTCCTTTCAATCTCGTTCAATAAACATTAGTCATTTGGTTTCTTTTTTCCGTGGTCATCATCATAGTTGTAGAAACTTTTATTTTTATTGAATGTTCTTTTTTAAAATTATTTTGTCAAGTTATTCACTTGCTATGTTGTGTTAAATTTCGATTTTGCATGCTTTATGTTAATTTGTAAATAAAAAAATGTATTCAGTACAATTATTTTTAACACTCTTTCCGTTTCTTGGAGCGAATGAATAACAAAACCACGTCGACGTCGACTATTTTCATTAACTCCCAGAAGTGTCTGCTTGTGACATCATAGCTTCTAAACGAATGGATCCATTGATTGATTCTAATGCGGTGCTTTTCTGTTTAAATCTGAATCTGACATGATCGAGATTATTCTCAACGACGCTTACAATGCCCGCACACCTACAGCCAAAAAGCGACAGGATGAAGTTCGTTTCAAAGCTACCAACTTCACGGCATTACAATGGCAATCAATATTTTTTTTGTTAATCTTTACATAGTATAAAACAAAGCCGCTGTTTGTACGCATCTTTTAAACTACACGACGGATTTTAATGCAGTTTTTCAGCAAAAGAGTAATTCAAGAGGAAGGTTTATATGTAGTATAATGCATATAATAGTACACATGCAAATTGTAGTAGATAAAAGCCGAGAAACTTGGATTTGTAATGTGATGTAGTAACAAACATATTTTTGTGCACTTACATTGCTACGCGGGCTAAACCTTGCGAGATAGATCAAATTAATGTACTACGAAATTGCATATCTTAAAAAGATGTTAGCACTGTCTCATGAAGAAAACAGTTGTAGATATTGTATGTATAGATATACTGTAGTATAGAGAGATCATATATATAATATAATTAATCACTTCACACTGCCCCCAAAAAATTACCATTCTATTCCCTAAAAAAACAGAACTCGTTGACAACGCAGTAGTGTTTCATAAATACCTAAATTTTACTGTTCATGCACACAAACGAACTTGTGTGCGTAGTCATGAATGATCGCGCGTAAAATAAATGAGTTGCGTATTAATGACGCACTTTTTGAGATAAGTTCAAATGAATGTAATTAATTAAGAGTGATTTAAAGTATTTATCAATTTTTATGTAACATTGTTTAGAATGTAATAATAAAATGGATACACTTAGAAAATCCCCCCTGTATAATATAATCTGGAACATCCCATCTTACCAACTGGCATTAAATTAATATACTTCGTTTTCTTAGTTATTACCTTTTTCCTTACTATTTTTTCTTTTAAAACATTTTTCTTACTATAGGATATCACTATTCTGTGTTGTAAGGAAATTTTACAAATATAAATTTCACGAGGACTAACACCCAGATACGAAACTACTATTTATGGGTCACATAAATAGTTGTCCCGTGTGGGGATCGAACCCACGACCCCCAACGCCGAATATGTTAGCAATTGCACCACGGAGTCATCGAGTTATATGTACATATTGCAGACGGTTGGAAAAATTGACTGAAAAAAAATTGTATGAAGGATAAATGTGAAAGGCTTTAAAATAAAACTCAATATAGGTAGTAAGATTGCTTGTTTATAAATTTTTGTGGCTACAATTGTTTCCACAAATACTTTACTCTTTTGTAAAGCAAAATTTTGTATGTCTTATCTAATAGTTTTAAAGAAATTTACAAGGACGCATTTAAGTATTCCCGAAAAAAGGACGTATTTACAGCGAAAGTAAAACTAAAAGCATTTAATCTCTTTCTACCACATGTGTTTTCTTCTCATATCGTAATCCATTAGCATATAATAAGTCTGTCAGTTGATATAAAAGAATTGCTGTTTGGATTAATAACGGAGTAAGGATATTTATATAAAAAATTATGTCATATATTATAAATAATGTGTAGTAGTGACATTGTTAAACTTTAGGACTGACATTTAAACATCGTGTCGATAGAAAAAATTCTATCGACCTTATAAAGATACTGTAAAAAATAGTATCACATAGCTACTGTGTAAACAGACCATACATTTCTGCAAATCAAAATAAATGCAGAAAAATGCATGTCGTTTTGTATTTCATTAACATTAAAAAGATAAACCACTTTATAATGAATGAATTTTCGTGTTTTACTATATTTACGTCCCAATTTCCAATTATAAGAAAAAAAAACAGGATTAAATACAATTGTTATTTGTTTATGATGCATCAGAATGGCATTCATTTAGTCTATATGTACATTTTATTACATCTGCAGAATTTAAAGCAAACAACTAATTCATGGCTTCTAGTTAAACATTAAAGCATGATTTTCAGCTTAAAAAGTGCACATACAGTACTTTAATCATGGAATACTTTTGAGATAAATATTATACATGTAAATAAAACGAATGACTAATTGAACTATTTTACAAAGCTTTTTCAGAAATGCCTGTTTAGATTTAATTAGACACTATTCCCTAATAAAAATAGGTTAAGTTGTGGGCTTCTTTATGATTATAAAATATCCTATTGCTATATTTTCTATTTACAAGTAATTTAATAAAGGCTAACTAAGCTGTAATATTTACAAGTCTCTTACTCAAAGATACTCGCTAAAACCAAATGGCGTCAAACCGCACAAGTTATTAATACTAATTCTTCTGAAGTAACTTTTTTAGTAAAACGAACTAAGAATGCCCAAACAAAACTACATAAAAACAATTACGAGTTAATTCTCTTCTTAAGCCGCGCATGCCGTAGTTTACTTGTTAGATAAATAAAAAGGTCGCATGTTTGATAAAGATATGCATTTTATAAAGACAACATTATATAATATCTGGCAAATCAGTCTGTTTAAACAATGGCTGATCGCCATTGGGCTCTTTTATATTTGTATTTATCACATAAGTCATTAACATGTCATAACAGTAAATATTGTTGACACATGAACAAGTAACAAGTAGTTTCTAAAATATTAGTGTCAAACTAAATGTAGTAATGAAAAAAAAAATATTAAATTAACTAGCTAATCTGGTTCAATAGTAAATACTCAGCTTAAACAACCGATAACTACTTTATTTATGCCAGTTCTAAATAATACCTATACAAATTAAATTTTAAACTGTATGATATATCTAGTGAAACTAGTTACATTTAAAATTATCTAGGAAATGTTCAGGCAATCTGTAACATCAAAAATATGCCACCTTTCTCAAAACTTAAATAAATTAATCTGTCACTGCAAACACATGCTACTAGACTTTCATATCATTGATAAAAAATTAATGAAATAGCTAAACATAATAACTATTCTCAATTTGCTACCTGAAGTAAGAAATGTTTAAACACCTCATATTTATAATCAAAAGGTATCCCATTAATTTATCTATTACATATCCTTATTCTATTTAAATATTAATAAGATGTTTCAACATCACTTTACAGTATACAAAGGATAAGAATGGCTGGTATTGGCAGTATATTATTTCTTTATTTTTAACATAATTTTCGCAACTATTGACGGTAAACTTTTGATGGATTTTTTAATAATAGTGAATTAAAGTTTATTCTTATGTAACCATTGATTAGAACTGTTGTGTCTTTAAAACGCCAATCACTGTTCACACGGACAGCAAGACAGACACTGGCAGGCCAGGGTCAATGGTGTCTAGGGTAATGATGCCCATTGCTGTATCTAAAAGGAAAATATTTGGTCATTATTAAAAATTAAGTCCCAAAAACAATTATTAAAATTTACACTGCACAAATAATACTAAATTTGTTGATTAAATTTTGAAATGTTTGTAGTCTTGTAACACATTTTGATTTAATTGTATTTTTACTGCTACATTTTATCTTATCTAATTATAACTTTACATCTTATCTAATACACTTGGCGTCACATTTGTTTTAGATAGGGTAAATGTTTGTTTTTGCAGCTGATTTTAGTAAATAATTTTAATATGAGTTCAGTGCACAAATGGATTGAACTACACTTTTTGAAAACTCTTAAATTTAAGTGTAGCACATGCACTTGGGATAATCATAACTTTTCATAAATTTATTGTGAAAAAGCTAAAATTCTTTTATTGAATAATACTTCATTTTGGAAGTCCATTTTGATAAATCCATACTCTAAGATAAATCATTTTAAAAATGCAATTCAAATGGACTAGTAAGTGCTGAATGATAATGGAAAACTTTTTAGTGTCCTTTAAACCAGAATGAAATTTGGTAGTAATAGCTTCTGCTGTTACTTGAATGGGCAGGCACATCCGGAGAAATACCACAACCTCTCAGAAGACCAGTGTGTAGTGGAAGTATTATACTTTCGTGATTTGTCTGGTGAGTGCAGTAATCAGAACCTGTGTTGGTACGCATGTGCATCCCCCCCTCAAGTTTTGGAGATGTGTATAGGCAGCAGTAATTATGCGGCCATTTACTCCACCAGTAACACAATATACATTATTTCATTTCATTTCTCAATTTTTTGTTTTCCATAAAACAAAAAATTCAATTGTTTATTGATTTCTACACAAAATTATTACTATATATAATTATACTTATATATAATAAATTTAAAAGAGCAACTATGGGAGTGGAAATTTTTCGAAATAATTTTCTTTTTCTTTACTGGTTAGCGTTATTGACTATATTTAGATTTAGTAAGAATATAAAATTTAAATAAATTTAAATTAAAATTAAAATTTGACTAATACCTGTTAAAACGCTTGTACTTATTATTATGATGTTTATTGAAGTGATGTGAAGGACGTCGCTCATTTCTGTACTTAAAACTACCACCCCAATGAGGCTTGTTTTGTTTCTCCTGCAATAAATGTATAACATTTAGATGGGACTTTCAATCCTGATATATTATCGTGAAAAGGCAAATGGTTTTGTGCAGAGCTTAATGAGCCAAGCTGTTCTTTCATTCAATTTTTGTATGATGACAACACAAACGATTTCACAAAGATAAAATATAAGTATCATTATAAGTGTTTTATTCAATGGATACAACGTAAATGTGATGGTCAGAGCTAACACTAATATGAATGTAATTAAATTGAAGAAGATTAATTTATGTTTTATGGTAAAACAGCCATGAAGCTACAACATACCTGAAATGGATTATAACCATTCCTATTGTTATTGAAACGGTTGTAGTGATGGAACTTCTTAATTTTTTTACTGCGCCCTCGATCCATATCATCTGTAGAATCAATAGCCCGCTTGCGTTCCTCTCGCCTTTCCGCAAATACCTGTGACATAGAGAAAATGCTTAATTATCATAAAATAAAACGGACAATATTCAGTCTACTTTGCAATCTTTTAATTAAACTAATTGACCAAAGATGCTATTATCATAATATGTTCAAACGGAATTTTTTTAATGAAAATATTATCTTTTTTCCATTTGTTTATTTTTAGTCAATAGCAGCAAACAGCAGCTATATAATGGTGTAAAAAATTAGATAAAGAATTATAGAAATTAAGGTATTTCGACAAAAAACGCCTTTGTCAAATAAGGCCAATATATAGTGCCAATTTTCATTAAGTTGGTGTAGTGGATAGTGAAACTGTCTCTTATGCCAAAAGGATGCAAGTTCTATTTGCAATTCTGGAAAAATATTTTGTGATGCACATAGTTTTCAAGTGTCTGGATGTTTATTACATCTATAATTGTGTAAAAAAAAACAAGGAAATTTATCAGTTATGTAGTGTCCACAGTACAAGCATTGTTTAGTTTGGGACTAGATGATGATATTTTTTATTTGCACTGATTTAAAGCTGCGGTGTAAGTTTAAAATTACAAAATGCATATTTATTAACAACTTTTGCAGTTAAAACTTAGCAATAAAGGAAACAAAAATGAGTCATAAAAATACTGGGTAATTTAATAAATATTATGCAGTAAAAGTTATTTATATTATGCAGTAGTAGTTATTTATGTATGGGCAGTTAATAAATTGAAATTTGTCAGTATTAAATCTCTATCATAAACGGTGCTATAATCAATGAGGGGGTAATGTATTTCTCATATATTGAGAGGGATGTCCCTGCTAACATATTTATTGACCATGTATATAAGTTTAAATTTAAAATGACTATGAATAAAGGGCCAATTGTTTTTTATTACTGTTCATGTTTAGCTGTCGCAGTATTTTACCAAACGCCGCAATATATAATAACTGCCAATTATTTTTTCTAATTGCTCATAATAACCTCCCGAATGATAAAATAACAATTTTAAAAATTCTTTCCCCTTTTTATTTTTTTAAAACTTTCACTGCAATTTTATATAATGTTGAATTGTTGTTACCTGTCGCGAAAGGGCACTGTGAGTACCACTCCAGGAGCTAACTGGTGCTCCATACCCGCGATGTGAAAGACCTTGCAAATGACGTGTAGTTTCTATGCTGCCAGTAGTCTGTGGTGCAGAAACCGGTGCTGTTGCTACATTGTTCGGTAGTGGATTCACGCCAACCTCGCTGCGGTCACTCAGTGGGGACATACTACTTACACTTGTATTTGGACTTTGTTCATTTTCACCGCGTGGCTCCTCTTTTGCTTTAACTCTGAACAGATAGAGAGAGAGAGAGGTATATAAATCTAAAGCATCACTAGGTTACAAAAATAGAATTGATATTTATTCATCCTAATCTTACCTTTTATTGGTTACTCCGTTCAAGCTTGGACTAAGCAAAGGTCCACTCTTTTCTTTTGAAACCGTCCAATTATGGTGGGTTCCTTTTGTTGTAACAACCAGACCTTGAGGTGAATCACATCGGCTTGGTTTTGGTCGCAGACTCTCATCACCTCTCCCTTCTCTTCTAACTTTATCATCACTAAACCTTTCAGCACGCTCATCATTACTTGATTCAGAATCATAAGGCACCAATTTTGAGTTACAACTTCCATTTCGGTTTATGTGGTTGGATGACATCACTCTTGTTCATCTGCTCTTCTAATTTTTCAAGTGGAGACTTTGGTGGCTTAACCAGTTTACTTGTTGAGGCAGCCCTGTCTAGTCCTTTGGTATTATTACATGTTAAAGAGTTTAGCTCTGAATCACTTTTTGAAAGCTTGGTCTTAATTGGACCATCCTCTAAGTTTGTTTTTTTTATAATAAATGTAATTTTTTTGTCATCCTCCTGTACTTTGTAAGCACCATTTTCTACACAGTTTAGGATCCTTGGTACCTGTGTGACTTTTTCCACTTCTCCATTTTGTTTCACTACCCATGGCTCAGAATTTAGGCTAGTTTCTGAAGATTTGCTCAATGTAGTATTAAGGATAATAGGTTTTTCAAGCTTTGTTACTTCTGTTGAAGTGCTGTTGAGAATAACTGGTTTCTTATCTTCATTTCTATAGAATGTTATTTTAAGTGGACTTTTTTCTCTCTTGATTATACTGTCTGGTAATTGAGGACCATACACTGCACTAGAAGTAGAAGCTATGGGTTGGCTAATGATATCATCAGATGTGTTATCTTTTTCAAAGAACATAATGTAAGCATTGGTGCCTAGCACAGCTGAGAGGGGCAGTGGTCTGACACAACTATCATCAAATTGATAGTAATTGCCATTAGGTGCCTGTCCTATAGCTGTGTAGTGCCCACAATTTTGTGAAGGCCCCAGATGAGTGACCAAGCTCACCAACTTATACGACTGAAATAAAATTAGAATAATTTTAGTATACCGCATGGTCCAAAAAAAAACAAAAAATTATTTACTAAAGCTTGAAAAGACAAGACAACTCTTTATTAAGACATGTTAGCCTATTGATAATGATAGGCTCATCACCTAACAACCTTATATCACCCATAAGGTCTGGATATTGGAAACTCAATGTCTATTGAGTTTCCAAAAGATGGTTAAACAATTCAATTTGATTCCATTTAAAAAAATGATATTCAGTTGACATTTAACAAGCCATTTGACAACTGATTAGTTAATTTCTATGTTGAACAGTCTTTCAGAAACCGGGCATTAGCATTAGTATTTCATCATTTCATTTGTCAAAAGGACAAATAGACTCCTTTATTGCATTGAAAATAAAGGTAACTATTTAACCCAGCCATTAGATTGAAACTTTTTATTGGGATAAAAAATATAATGCAATAAAAAAATATTTACTCACCAATTGTTGAGGATTGTTTTTATTGTAAATATATTTATTCAATGTAATTTTTTTGCGAAATTGCACATGCTTTGATAATTTGCCACCTGCTAAAGAAAATCTTTTCAATGCAATGCAAAGCACCATGGGTGCCCTCTCGATAAAGAACTGTTTTGTTGCAGATACCTGTAAATAATGAATTACAAATCACCACAAAATGAATTAAATGAAAACTACACATGTAGTTTTCATTTAATTCTTAATCTTTGTCTTTATTGGATGATCTTTTTTCTTTCTTGCATCTTAAGGAATCTTAAGTCACATTTATCTATTAATATTTCTCAGGTATCAAGGTTTCCCCACAAACTTTTCCTTTAACATACTAATATAAATGCAGGCCGCTAAATTACAAAAAGGAATTAATGACGAGCTTGTGGTCACTATACTAAGAGTCAAGGCATGACAAATCTTCAAAATATATCAACAATATTAGCACTTAGAATAACAAATGTTATAAAAGTTATGATTTAAGAAGCAATTACCATGAATAAATGCAATGTTGCAGGTATCAGAATTCAAACTTAGATTGCTCAAATAGATAGAAGTATGATTATGTTATAACTATGTTAAGTTACTCACCTTTTTATTACAAGCTTCACACTTATATCCTAAGTCCTCCAACCTTTCACGGGAAAAAAAAGAATCTAGTGCTTCATCCAATGTTGAATGTTTTCTTATATCTAATAATAAATCCTGAAACAATAATAAATATAATTATTTTTTTTAACCTTTACACAAATAAAATATTACACAAATAAAAGTCTAGAATATACTTCTTACCTGGAAATGCTGATAGGTAGTGGACAAATGATGACAAGCCAGGCACCTTACTGTAGACCGCAGATACCCACCCAAAATTTGATTTAAGGGGGTAGTTTCTTTACTATATTGGTCTAATTTATCAGAGTTTATAAATCTTGAGAGATAACATTTTTCCATAGCCTCCACTAAGTACCTGTAAAAATAATTACAAGTTTGGATAAGTGCTTGCAGCTTTATTGTCCATATTAATTACACAAATAAAATAACTTGAGAATGAAGATACAATTACTTAGTAGTAGTAGTAATAATTATTGATGACTCACCTCAAAAATTCATGTGCATCCTCTTGTCTCCCAGGTGTTAAATGCCTACAAATCAAACGCAATTTTGAGTACACCTGCCAAGGTTTCACTGGTGCTCCACCACTCTTCTGTGTGGTCATCAATGTAGCTCTCATGCCGCAGATAACGCATGCTTCTGTAAAATATTTAAAATATTTATATATGTCCATATCATCACTGAAAAGGAAAAATGACTTAACCGTCAAATAAATGTTTGGTATTTAAGTAATATAATATTGCCTTTGCAGATACAATATAAACATCAAAATATTTAAAACGAAAAAATATGTTAATAAAGGTAGAAGAGATTTGATTTGAATAAAAACAAATTATATTTATGGTATTTTTACACACCTTGCTGATTACATTTTTCTGTATGATTTGCTTCAGAAACCAGCCAATTAGCTAAGGCAGGGACATGGAACAAAGCTTGCAAAGTAGAGTTAAGGTAACATGTATTGCCTACATTTTGCATACCCGCTCCAGCACTCCATGTGCCCTGCCATCCTAATTGAACTTTTTCTACAGGAAATAAAACTCGTTTTGGCTTTGGCAAGCCTTCTTCTCGATTTTTTGTATCTAAAATTAAGGTGAAAAAAATATTAATATAATAAGTATGCAAAATCATTACAGTAACATAGTTTTTATAGGAAGATATATTAACACACTTATTAACACATTTCTTATTAAGTGGTAATATAACTGTCTCAGATTAAGATAGTCCTTTATATTTTTTGAAGAAATTAGAATTTATATATATATGTGAACAAAAAAATAGCTTCAATATTAAAAAAATCTGATCTGAGCATTGATTGTGATATGGTAAATATTGACAAAGTTTTGAATATATAACCTCTGTCAACAATTTCACACATGTACATTTATAAAGTTATTTATTGATATTTTTTCTATTGATGACATTAATATTTACCTGCCAGTTGACTTCCCGGGCCAACATCCTTTTTTAGTAGCTTATTCTCAAGCACTGGCTTTTTGGGCCTAATAACCACGTACTTAGATTTCAAGCCATCTAAAACATTACTCTGATAGTCACCGGATTCTTCAAATTCTATTTTTGACAATAAAACACTTTTGGCCGAAGAGTAAAGCCTACTATCCAACAACGACGAGCTCTGGGAGTCCTCAGCACCAAGAGATAAACGCAATGCGCTAGATACTGGGTCACAAATGGAAGCGGGCATTTTACCTCCAAAACTGCACTATCACGTCAGTACCGTTTATCATATATCACAAGTACTCATGATGATTTAAAGCGATGTTTAACTATTGCTAGCCCGAGCAGAAAACCAAGTTAAATATTTTTATCAACCATGTGTACGTATTACAAATTTGTGAGCTCGATACGAGAAGGAAAACGCTCCACGAACCACGATACGCGATAGGTTCTTTTTCCCATAGACAAACTATATGTGACAGATAAAAGATTTGAATCAAGTAACCAAAAAAGTTCGTTAGGTAATTTAGGTTTTATTTTAAAGTAGACAATATTTTTTTCTGGCAGCTTCGTCGGGGGAGGTCCGTTGTAAAACGACCAGAGGACAAAGGAGAAAAAAGTAGCTGTGGCTGGTGCACGATGACGCCATCCGCTTCGCTGAGTCTCCGCTACCCCTGTTATTGAAACATGAAAGATGGACAATTCAAGTAGTAATAAAGGGGATAATTAAGAGTGTTTAGGTAACTGATAAACATACTTATTCATACTTGTCTTTTGAAAATCCTTACCTCCTTATAAAGCCGGAAATTTTTATGTATGGATGGATGTTTGTTACTCTTTCACGCAAATAGTACTGAATGTATTTTAATGAAACTTTAAAATAATATAGCTTATACATGAGAATAAGACAGGTTATAATTTGCATGCATATTTCATGTATATCTGTCTTTCTGTCTGAATGTTACGCTTTCAGCCTATTATACACAGACGTAGTCGCGGGCAGTATTGAAAGCAAAAATTCTATCTGCCGAACAGATATCGGGATAAAAGAAGTGACTCCTTGTGGATATCTGCTAAGAAATGCGTAAAGGATGCAGTTAAAGTATCGCAACCAAGAAAAATATTCGCCAAACGACAACATTGGATGACAGCAAACACCTTGCAGTTAGTGGAAGAACGTAGGAAGCTAAAAGCTAAAGGTGTGAGTGTTGCTGAATTGAATGCAAAAACATTAGTAATACAAGCTGCTTGTCGACGTGATCGTAATAACGACGTGATCGTAATTGGCAAGGATATGTGAAGAACTAGAACGACACTCAGACAGACTACAGACGAAAGATCTTCATGACAAATTTCGACTCATAACACGCCAGTTCAAACAAGACTTCTCTCTTCGCAAAAAAAACCACAACAACAGACAACCTATGTACCTCAAATGAAATTGGTGAGCGAGAACCTGGTATAATACCATGCGTGATGAAGTTAGAGCAGCAATACGTCACCTGGAGAGCAATAAAGCCATTGATGTTGATAACATCCCAATAGAAGTGTTTAAGGCTATGGGGGAAGCCGGTGTGGACTTTCTATTTAGCATCTGCTGCAAAACTTGGGAAACTGGCCTCTGGCACAAGAAAGGATCCACAAACAAATGCAATAACTACCAGCTCATCTCCCTTATATTTCATGCGATCAAAGTGATGCTCTACATCCTTAATACAAGGTTAAAGGCTTACCTCTCAAACCAAATTGCTCCAGAACAAGCTGGATTCGTGAAGGGAAGAGGCACGCTGGAACAGATTCTCATATTACGGCAGATCATAGAGAAATCAAGGGAATTCAACAAACCACTCTTCAAATGTTTTTTCGACTTTCGAAAGGCATTCGATACGGTCATATGGGAGTTCCGCGGCATCTTGTTTTTCTTTTGAGGAGGTTATACGAAGATGGCACTGCTGCAGTGCGGGTGGATAAAGTCCTCTCAGATGCCTTTTTTATGGGAAAAAAGCAGCAAACGAGCAGGAGGCTCACCTGATGGTAAGTGATCACCGCCGCCCATGGACATCTGCAACACCCGAGGGCTTACAAATGCGTTGCCGGCCATTTAGGAAAGAGTACGGTCTCTACTTCAAGACTGAGTCCGGTGTTCGACAGAGGTATATATTGTCGCCGTTGCTCTTTAACACCTATACCGAGCACATCATGAGAATCGTCCTGAAAGGTTGGGAAGGTGTTTCAGTTGGAGGGTGAGTGATTAGTAACCTACGATACGCTGATGATACTACGCTTCTGGCAAGAACAAAAGAAGACTTAGAAGAGCTGCTCGCTCGACTTGAATCCACCAGTGCCAACTTCGGTCTTGCTCTAAATAGAGATAAGACGAAGATCATGATAGTAGACCGGGATGAGCACAATACGCAAGGAGTCCCGCGTATAGCAAACTCTGAGGTAGTTCAGAGCTATATTTATCTCGGCTCTACTATATCCAACCTCGGTGGCTCTGAATACGAGATCAAGCGTCGATGCGCTATCACACGGTCAGTGGTAGAACGATTAGGGAAGATTCGGAAAGACAGACGTATAACCAAGAATACAAAGGTTCGACTAATGAGATGTCTGGTATTTCCGATCTTTCTGTATGGGATATTAGATTACAAGATCTCCGGAAAATCGATGCCTTGGAAATGTGGTGTTGGAGACGACTGTTGAAAATTCGTGGACAGCGTTTCAGTCTAACATTTCCATCCTCAAAGAACTTCATATACAAAATAGACTTTCGTCGACTGTCCAACTACGAATTCACAAGTTGTTTGGGAACATCTCTAGAAAGGAAGATTCTATGGAAAGACTTGTCATTCAAGGCCATGTAGAAGGCAAAAGACCTCGAGGTCGAGCCCCCACGCGCTGGATTGACCTCATCACCAGCACTACGAAAGCCACCGCAGTACAATGTGCTCGCATTGCTAACAGCCGCCTCCAATGCCATGCTTTGGAAGCGAACACCGACGACGAGACGCAATCCAGTCCATCGACAGCCACGACCACTCTGCCAAGAGTGTTCGATTAAGAAGAAAGTCGCGGGCAGCAGCTAGTAAATACATAATATTATAAATTTGTTCATCACACAATATTTTTCTTGAAGTAGGAATGGAACCACACTAGCAATGTCGAAATAATATCGATATATCAATTTGAAATATTGTGTATTTTAAATATGAATTCTGACGCAAATAGAGACGCACGCGCTGATATACATGTCCTTCTGATCATAAATCATATTATAAAGCTGTATTGCGTAATTTATGAGTGCAAAAATAATAGCAGAAAAGAATGTCTCAAAAGGAAGGGTTTCACATCACAAGCAATTCGAAAACAACGAAAATCGAAAATTTTATTTGAACATCAATCAAGAGGCAGCCTTATGTTAAATGGATAAAAGTGTATTTTGCCTTGTTAAAAAGCGTGCTAGTCCAGTACAAGTACTGATTACTAGAATGTTAGCTATTCAGTTAGTGAAGACCATTAGCTTTAAATAATGTCGATATCGATAGCATTTTGATGATACACTTAAGTAAACATTATTGAATGTTTACTTTTCCAACCATTCATTTATGTTTTAACCATAGTTATAAATTTAGTAAATAATCATGTTCAACTTGAGGTTTTTTTTATGTGAGGCTAACGAGCTGGCGGTTCACCTGATGTTAAGTGATAACCGCCTGCCCATGGATATTTGCAACACCCGTAGGGTTGCAGATGCGTTGCCGCCTGTTAATAATGTAGGCCCCGGCTACCTCACTCACCAGACGAAACGCAGAAGTGCAACACTTCCATTTTACGCCGGTCTTCTGTGAGGTAGTGGTACTAACCTGGACGAACCTGCCCATTTATGCAACAGCGAACACTGTTGTGTGGCCCTACCACCGTAAAATCAGAATACATAAGAATCTATGTTTTCGTAAGTTCCTTTTTATGTATAAACATGTTATTAAAAACAAACATGTGTGAATAATATCACGATAAACATGTGAATATGAGCATGTGAATAAGCATAACATGTTGTATTGAATGTCAAGAAGTGTTACGGTTGTAACTAAAACTTGTTTCCTGCTTATTAATAGTTTTTTTTAGTTCCTATGGCCTCTGGACAGTGGACTCGGGGAGTCCTTTGACCGATTAAGAGGGGTTGATCAGCAGGAAGTGCTACGTTGAAAGTATACAAAATCATTCCGGGAACCCTGTCAATAATATGCACCCTGGATAACATACTTAACCTACTTGACTTAACCAGTTTTGTACAAAGTACCCTACAAAAAGTTAATCGGGGACCTCGCATTCTCCAGCAAATGCCCTGGTCATGGTGTTTTTTGAGAGTGAGAGTATGTCACGCTAAGCACAGTGGACCCGAGTCAGCCATTGAATTAATAATTCGAAAAGCAGTTTCAAGCTGCTATTTTCTTGTATTAAATAGCCTCAGACTATCTGGAGACATAACAAGTATATATTAAAAGCTTATAATTATCATTTGGTTCTCATTACTCGATACTAATCCTCAGTTTTCTGGAACACCGAGGATTGTAGATTTCTGTCTGGGAGGCAGTTATTTATACCAATCGGTAAAAAAAAATTACCGATTGAGGTAAAGATCCCCAAAAAAAGAGCTTAATAAATGTATTAAATACAAGTGTTTAGTAACACGTAACAACATCATGATATAAACAAAAATCAAATAGAAAATCTATAAAATAAAATCGTATTAGAATACCTTCGTGCTGCTAAACAGCTTTTACTAAACCATAAGGTACAGTACGATGACATTTGTCAAAGTCAGCAAAAAAATTACTAACCTGCTCTTTGAGCAGTTTGGATCGAGTAAGAGATTTTGTAGAATAAATGAATTAGATATAATTATAACAAATAATCGTTAATTATTTAAATTTAATTAAGTTTCACTAACTTAGTGGTATAATTGCTTTTCTGAATTTATAATTAAAGCACTTGACGGATTAGTTTCTTGCTAGTAAGCGCCGGTGAAATTGTGGTCATGGCGAATCCGTCATCAGGCGTTGGTAAGATTTTATTTTTTTACGTTTTATATAATTTTCACCTTTATTTTGCACCATAAAATCGAAGTTTTGATTATCTTTAATGAATCAGTACAATCAACTTTGATTTAATTTTTTAACAGTGGTTCCTAGAAATTTTCGTCTTCTTGAAGAACTTGAGCAAGGTCAGAAGGGAGTGGGCGAT